CCAGTTTATGATCTGCGGTCGCTTTGGAAAGCAAGAATGCCAGCAAAAATAAAAATCTTCTTATGTCAGCTGGCTCGAAACCGGATTCCCAGCGGTGACCAGATCCAAAAAAGACACGGCCCGGGAGATGGCTTGTGTGTTTGGTGCAGAGAAGAGGGATCTAGCAGCCACATTATCTTTCGATGCATTGTGGCTCGGATGGTGTGGAGCTCCCTTCAAGAGGCGACTGGATGTTCGTGGAACCCGAGTGGTTTCGCTGAACTATATGGGCTCATCATGGCTAGCAATGCCCAGGATCGGAAGCTAGCTTGGCTTGGCGTTGGGGCGCTTGCTTGGTCTCTCTGGACTACACGGAACAAAGCTACCATTGAGGGAATTTTCTTTAAACATCTGGCTGATGTTGTGTATAAATTGGTCATCCTTTTGCAGCTTTGGAAGGGGTTGACGAGATAACGGGACCGCCCCGGAGTGGAGCGCCTCATCTCCCGCTTGAAGGCCAAGTGTGCTGAGCTCCGGCGTGCCGGATCGAGGGCTGCAACGGCCGGCGTGCCGCCCTCCTTCGACCCCTGACTGCTCCTGGAGCGGCCTTCTTCCCTACCGCCCGCGACCGGGGCTGCGTCGCTGTACTAGGCCGCTGTGCCTTGTAACCCTGTTTTTTGGCTGTGTTTGTCTTTGTACTTTGCCGACTATTTGTACTCTAAGGGCCTCATTCTTAAGGCCGGGCAAGCGCCTCCTCTCTAAAAAAAAAGGTGATTATCGATGTTCTTGTAGTAGCATCAGATTTGTTTGTTTGCAAAGCCCTCGTTTGAACGTATTTCAGCCTGAAAATTTATACACTTGTGTATTATGTCTTCATCTATATCTATATTGTTTCAGAATTTTCTGAAATGTAAAAATATGAATTTTCATGAGTTTGAGTTTCGCATTTGGAGGCCTCCATGGATATCAGCCATTCTTGGCTCTATATGGACATCAGTCACGCTTCTATGGGGGTATCAGACACCTCTGTTCCAGTAGGGAACAAGCTTCAAACTTGGCTGCAACATTTCCGCCTAATGACATCGTTGCTTCGTCAACATCTTCATCGAGCTCAGCAACCAATGAAGGATTCTGCTGAGCATAAATGTACATAGTGGAGCCGTACATACAAACTTCTCTGGCGCGCAAAGCCAATGCAAAACTTGTCTTTCGTTACTTTGGGCCATACCGAGTGTTGGAGCCACTCAGAAATCAAAGATATGGACTTCTAACTGCTCGGACATGCATCAGAAGAACCATCCCATCTTCCATGTTCACAGTTGTGTGCAAGAGTGCCAACGACAAGTACCGTGCACCAGGAACTGCCTCGCCTCACTGACGATCAACTATCGCTGCAAACTCAAAAGCATGTATTGGATCGCCGCACCAAATGTCGTGGGGGTTCCACCATTGAGGGGATCCTTGTGCAATGGTCTAATTTACCAAAGCCACACAAAAGCATGTATTGAAGGAGCTTCACGTGAGATTTCCCAGCATTGCGGCTTGGGGACAAGACGCTGGTCAAGCCACTACTAGGGATCAACGCCCATAGAGGATCCGACAGCCATCCAACCGGTACCCTACTGCTAACTGCAAGACTACACAAAGTCGAGCACCGCACTGTAATCGACATGAAAGGAAATCCCAGACAACACATCTCTCT